TTATGCGTGTGACGAGAATGGGAACAAGAAACGGGCCGCCGCGACAACCCTGTAGGCGAGCAGGAAGATCAGCAGCCGAGGAGCATGGAGAGTGGCGTGAAAGCAGTGCGAGAAGACGGCTTTGGTTGCCTCAGCCAGAGGACTGGACAGCATTAGAACTTTCCATTACGTCTTCTCAAACAGAGAGTCTCGAGGCTTCTATGAAAATAAACCGGCGAGTCCACGCAGGTTATTTAGGAGAAAACTGGCCTAATCCGACTTTCAGCATGGACGAGCGGCCATGGGAACGGGACACACAGATACCTGGGGGAGCAGATCCAGTCAGATACAGACTCGCCATTGTATGTATATTTGCCTGTGGTGCGTCACCCCTGGCTGCAGTCTGGCCCATGAAGCGGCCACTGCAGGCATTGATTATATTTCACGTACCAAGTGCTCCATGCTTGGGGAGCATGCCGTCCAACAGTGAGTGCATGGCCATTCCAGGATATTGCAGAGGCGTCGAATTGGATTGGGCCGTTCAAGAGTATCAAAACGACGGTACGCCCCGACTGGGCAGTCCTTGGTGTGGAACCGAAAAGTGCAACGCGTGTAGGGAGGAGTGTCGTGGTATTACAATCTGCAAATGCAACTGCGCCGCCATGTACGGAGTACGGAGAATGTTGCAAAAAGAGCCCTGCAAGCTGCATACAGCATCGTCCTGTAAAAATCGACAAGATGCCCGTTCAGGCCACCATTGGGTGTCGAGCCCTTGCCCTGGCCATGCGATATGGCCTCAGCGCCTGGAGGAGCGCGGCGATGTGTCTCCATCAAGGCGCCCGGGTTGGTGGGCCTGCCGAAGCCTCAAAACCCCCAGCCGGTCCCTTGTTTGGATGGCCAGCCGCCTACCGGATCACGTTGGTTTTTGGTACTTGCCAGGGACGTGTCGATGTCTGGTGTATGAGGGAAATCCCTCCCAATCCACGGTATCAGCAACGGTGAGGAGTGGCCCGCCGCATTAGCTTGAGGCGTAGGCTAGCGGTAAGGGTCAGGCGAGTTGGGATCTCGAAGCGCCAGACATTCCGAAGGAGATGCATGCCGTGCTAGCACTAATGACCACGAGGTGAGCGACTAGCTCGCGCTAGACGGAGAGACTCCAAAGAGAAGCAAGGATGTCATTTAGAACAATTCCCTTGGGAGGGGGTGATAGCTGCAGGCGAAGCAGGGTAAGGCAATTGATAGTAGAACTTAGGGCTTGTCCAAGGTGTGGAAAAGAGGCAATGTTCTTCCCTGGTGGATCGGAGCAGCCGCGGCGGCACTAACAATAGAACCCATGCTGGGCCTGTATCTTGTTGGCGGAGTTCTTGACCGACATTGGCTCTGCCGGTGCCCAGAGCTGGGTCCTCGCGATTGCTTCTTCCTTGGCACTATTGTCGAGAGCAAGAGCCGATGACAGCTACGGGGTAGCCTATTATTGTACATTTGCAATCGATTCGGTTCAAGGACAGGGCCCTTGGTGTCGAGCTTAGCTGAGTGTTTCGACAGGCCAGTGACAGTCCTTGTTCGTCAGCGGCATGTCTAGGACACGCATCCCCTGCATGTCTCATTTCTAGCCTCCGAGAGGACGATCTGGTGCGCGTGTCTCGCTTTGGACACCAATCTCTTCCACGCTGCGGATAATAGCGCCACAAGCCTCCAAGATTTGGCATCTGCATCTGACGAGGCGGGTTTAGGCCCATAAGGGTTTTTTGGGGACGTCTCGTGAGTAACCGTGGCCCTGGGGGAAAACAATTGATGATGCATGCCTCGTCGATGATCTGCTTGGTCTGTCGCATCGAGTTGGATGGGATTGCGAATCGACTCGCATTCTTGGCCAATAGAGGCCGTAGGCAGTCTGATCTGCGACGTCGAGTTTCCACGGAAGTCGTGCTTATGAATTATGATGCAGCTTTGTCGAAGACGGAAGCAACCGAGTTGTACAATGCGTCTATCCTTGGGCGCTCTCCCGTCTTCTGTCGTATTTTGGCTGCAGCAATCCCCGTACTCGGATATGACATTCTGGAAGGTCTCACATATGCCAAACGCCATCCGCTCCTGCCTTGACAAGTGTAGTTGTACCGACAACCCACGTCCCGTTTGCTTCTCTCAGGACGGCGAGTTTTAACGATGCTTATTCGCTGAATATTGCCGCTGGTCAGCCAACCAAAGACGTGGCCATGTTTCAAGCTTGCTGATTGGCAACTAAGACCGTCTTTTCCTCCCAATCATCACCTTCTCCATCGTTGACTCGAGTCACTTTGTCCAGCTCCTTCCCGTGTGAAAGCGCTCTAGTACTCTGTACTCCACACTTGATCCCGCCTCTGGCTTGACTGTTGTCTCGACTTTTTGCAACCGGCTCAAGTGGGCGAGTTTGCTTTCAATGTTCAAATGTTGCGTTTATGCCCGGCGCCGGGCCGTTACCATTGATTTCCTCAGCATACCTATCTGCGAATGACCCCATCAGAGACCTCTCCAGAGAGGGCCTTGGCCACAGACCACATCTCGCAATGTCAACATGCAGTTATCACCTCAGCTGGCTAGTTCCCCGGCTTCGCCATGCCAACATGTGCCGATGTCTGTTTAGCATCCTTGAAAACAAGTCAGGGCATCGACGGAAATAGAGTCACCTAATATTTGACACGGACATATTCGCCGGTGAGACGAAATGCGAATTGCAGACAGGCATCTCTTGCTGAGCTGAAAGCTGCAGCCCGTAAAGTGGCGATTGATTCATGCGCATGCGCGTCTAATACGACGACAAGACTCTTGTTCCGTGGATCCTTTCTGCGAGACCTGCATGCCCCGGGTCGTCAATCGAGTGGCAATAAAGCCCGAGAGGCAGCCTGCAGAGGCGAGGTGATTTGGGACACCTATTTTTTCCCATCGCAGCTTCGCCACCGACGAGATGGAATTGAGGCTCTGACGTGGCTCACATATTGTGTGGCTGAAGCCCCAGAATCTGTCGGTCTAAACTAAGAAAGGCTCACCGTTACTGTGGCTTGTATATCTTGGCATACCCTGCAAAGCGCTTTGTGGTCGGCGACGCATGTACCTCAATTCTCAGATCCATGTACTCGGTACTTCCAGGACGACGACAACGCTTCGCCTTGCCCATTTGGACAAACTCGTGGTGTGGGCTGTGAGGCGACTTGACAATGGATGGAGCCGGCGAATGTGTTGTGTGACTGAGTACGGAGTATCCCCTCCTTTAAAGACTGAAGATGAGAAGTTATCCAATCATAAACCAATGAGAGGTAGGGACTGGGTTCTCTTGACACTATTGGTCTACAGCCTGGAAGTCTTTGAACGAGTTGAGTTGACTGATTTGGTGATGAGGGCTACGACGACCATGAAGGCCGGGCCTTGTTTTGCGGCTTTCCACATCTTGAACTCTTCACGTGCCTCTCTTGACTGTCAATTGAGAGGAATCATTGGCTAGACGTCCTCAACACACGGCGACGTTATGGCCAGATGCCGCGCGTGGACTCTTGGCACTACTAAACAAGCAGCGGCAAGCGCTTGCCGAGACTTCGATGTTGTCGCTGGCGACAGTGAAAGACCCAAGTCTGAACAAATGCCTGGTGGCATCGAGAAGAAGACCCGCCGCAAAGAGGCGCTGTGGAAAAGCAACTCCATACGGATACTCATTTACGCCAGTCTTGGCCCTTGGTAAGTTTTTATTGCTAATCAACCTGGTACTCTTAGTATCTCTGTCTATTCTGTAAACATAGGAACTACAAAATTGTATTTGCTGGACGAGGCATTAACGATTGGGCTTGAGCCCAAGTCTGGTTGGCTTGTGCCTCTGGTGAGCTTCGTGATTCTCATCACACGCCACATCCGTCTTGGCGGAAGTCTCACCAACCCCCACGGACCAAATAGACCTGTCGCTGAGGATACGTCGCGCCCATGTTGACAATGGCCGTTTATTGGCGAATAGGTGAGCGGCTGACATGTCTATCTCAAGTACGGAGTAGAGTGAAGCAAGTGACTCAATGAGAGGGAAGAAGACGGCGGAATGACGACATGCAGGGACCTCTCTGGTAGACCCAATTCGAGAAGCGGCGAAGTAACGGTGCTGAGACCAAGGGTAATATCACGGAGCGGCACGCTGTTCTAGCCTCGCGGCCCTTTCCGTTTTGTGCGAAACAGGCGTTCGATCTGCAAAACAAAGTTTAATGAGATCCAACGCACTCCGTCGCGTCTGGACTCTGGTACCCTCGTGCCAGCTTTGACATCCATCCCTGTACACTGTGTCCCTCGTCGATGCCTTGGGCAGTAATGCCAGTGCAACGTGGGGAGTGGCATCGAAAACAAAACCATAATGCCACATGTAATATTAGTACTATGTATGTATTCCCTGCGGTCGCAACCCTTGGCAACAGCCTCCCCCATCTATCTCTGACAATGCCCTGTATCCCCGTTCGGCCGAATATCCCCAGTTGGTGAGCGAGGACCGGCGCGGCGTGGGTTCGTAATTATTGCTTCCATGTCCACAGCTGACAGAGTAGGGCGGCTCGTTTCAGCTCATTGACTCGACTATCCTCGATAGATTGACCCTTGGCTCGGAAGAAGGAAACAAGAATGGCAATCTCTCCATAGCCAGGCCGCATGCTGGTGCGTGGGCAATAAATGCAGCCTGCATGACTTGCATATCGCTGTACCACGACGGGATGAATGTGGCATCTCTACTTGAACCCGACCTGATTTTGATAACTGATGACTCTGTATACACAAACAAACAAAAAGAAAAAAGAAAGAAAAAAGCCTGAATGATGCTTGTCATTTTACAGTTCCCCGATCCGAGTGCTGCCGTTTATTTTGGTCTCAAATCTCACCACCCCTCAACGCCGTATTCCGCCTCCCCCCGGTGTCATTTTCCCGATCGCTAGTCGTACAAAGTAAAATTCTCCGCTCCCATCTCAACCGCATTCCTGGGCTTCTGCAAACTCCATCGACGGGCGGCTTCGGACCGCGGAGGCCTAGGCAGCCGCGAACCTGGCAGCTCTCTTCTCGGCCTTGGCCTTCTCGACGGCGTCGTCCAGCACGGCCCTTTCGCCGCGCTCCTTGTTCCCTCCCTGCCGGGGGCCTCTGCCGGGGCGTCCTCTCCCGTCGAGACTCTGACGCTTCGCCGGGCGGTTGTCGCCGTCGCGGCCGCGGCCGCGCTTCAGGCGTCGTTCCGGAAGCGCCGAGTCCAGGCTGGAGGAGAGTTCGTTCTGGTCGAGGCCGAAGCGCTTCGCGCGGTCTGCGCGCCTCTTGGCATCCTCGTCCTCTTCGATGCCGAACCGCTTGGCTCGCTCCGCGCGCTTCTTGGCCTCCTCGTCGGCGGCGGTTGACGCGAGACCGATGGCATACGATTGCGCGGGCTCGGCGGGCTCGGCGGCGTCCGTCTTTTCAGCGGCAGCGTCGGCGTCGGCGTCGGCGGGAGCCGGGACCTCCTCCTTGGCGACCTCCTCCTTGGCTGGCTCTTCGGGATTTGGCTCTGTCGCGGCAGCGGGCTTGGATGCGGCGGGCTCGTCGTCGCTGTACGTGATTTCGTCCTGCTTGGCGGCTTCTGACGGGGGTTTTGTTAGCAACGGCGCGCTTCTGATGGTGTCCTCCTGGCTTCTTTATAGCCACGGCTATATTCAAGGGGATACATGGAAGAAAAAAAAACTTACCTGGCTTGGCCTCCTCACTACCAGCGGCGGCCTTGTCGTCATCCTCTTGTAGTCGCGCGATTAGGGCTTGCTTGTTTCCTGTCTGCGGGAGCTTTCGCTGGCCCAGTATGGCCTTGAGCTCCGGGACCTTGAGCGCATTGTAATCCGTCATGGTGGCGGGTATGTTCTGGCTGTCTTTGCTCGCGGCGTAGTGGGCGGCGCGCACAATCTGTTCTTTCTCTCAAACCGTTGAAAAGGGGAGAAAGCGTTCGCAGAGGACGGGGCGGGCGACGGAGCAACAGCGCCGGGTATATATATTTGGTGCGATGAACTGCGAGGCGCGGACAAAAGGGCCGGCTTGTGGGACGGAGCCGGTCCAGGCTTTGTGCTGCTGGGCGAGGAAGTGAAGATCCGGGGGACAGGGACTGGACAAACGGCACTTTGATTCGGGAGCAACGGCGACGGTGAAAGGAGTCGGGCGATGAGTGAACTTGGGGTGAGCTTGCGGCGAGCTTGGGCGCGTTCCTGGCGCGTTGTGGCGCAGATGGCTGAGCGGTGTGGTTGGACGAGTAGCTTAGTCAGGCGCGCTAATCCCGTTGCGGTTCAGCGCTGCATGTCAATCAGTGGTTGCAAACTTAATGAAGCATTGGCCATGGAGGTTATGATCCTGGAAACTGTTTGTCGCAGACTTGTTCAGACGATGGTCATGCCAAGCTCCTTGTTGCGCCAAGTTGGCTTTGCCTTCTGGCTCGTCCTGTAATTATGGATGTAAGCCGTATGGAACCAAGACAAATGAAATGAAAGCTGATAATAGACTATAGCAGCCTCCTTTTACTTTCACCAAGATGTACAGCGGAGAAGAAAACGTGTCTTGGTTCACTGCTGCGTGGCCACTGGTGACACAAAGGGCTTCTGGGAACAATGTAGAAAGCTATAGAAACTCGCCATCAATGGATGCGTGTCCTCATTGCTCAAGGATTTTATCCCGAGCCCGGTTTCGCCCTTTGGGCTTTGACCACCATCACCATCACGGCATGTAGATGGTAGTGTCTACTAGCTACCGTCTAGTTCCGTCCCCTGATAGTTAAAGTACCGCAAAGTGTCACACTTTTTAATTGCTGTCCAGGCCATGGCCACAGCTCATCGTCGTATTGATGAAGCTGGTGTCGACGAAAGGATCAATGGGAATAACGGTTTTGCCCACAATAGCCAGTCACATCGCTCGCAAACAATCATGCCAAGTGCCGGAAACCAAGAAACTGGTTACTGCCTTTGATTCAGAAGTGTTTGCATCCTGTGAAGATGCTTCTCCGGACAGTCGTTATGGCGTTGCGCAAGTTGCGCAAGTTGGAGCAGTTGAAAGCGAGTACACCGGACCGAGCATGTCGACTTGCCAGCCTTACCAGCGCTAGTTGGCATCGGTGTTGGTAGTGCAAAAGAATATCCGAGCTGCATGTTGAACTACCATAAGAAACTTGCAACTAATCCAGGTCAAGTGAAGAGCCCCGGAAGAATAGGCTTCCCAGTTCCTGGCTGCCGTCTCAGTCACAGTTGTCTATTCTTTCTTGATCCACAGGTGTATATACCCGCACAGGGTTCAAACTCAAAGCAAAACTTTACTCGGGTTGCAGAATTCGCTGCAAATACAGCTTACGATAGTTCTGACCCCATTCGTTTAGGCGACGTACATCAGCGAGATGATTCGCATTCCGGTCTTCAAACCGTCAGAATGTACACCGAGGCTGAGGTTCACCATGTCGGAAAGTATTCATGACGCCTTGCCCCCTTGTGCTATGCGGAGCTGCCTGTCTAATGGGACAAGTGTTGCAAATCAATCACCAGACGCCGAATCTAGATAATCCGTAGCAACTCAACAAGAGGCGGTACAGTAAAGGAGAGTTGTGCCCGCCACGCGATTGCCCATTCGCGCACTTGATGGCTGTTGGTAGCGAAGGCAAGTCGCGGTTTCCAAAGTCCATATTGTGGTCGTGAGATTCACAGATATCCGTCTGGTCACAATACGTCTGTTGCTTGGCGCCTTCTCGCTGCCAAGGGCGTCATTTTCGTCCTCAACCGCAGGATTGTCAGCGAATGGAACATTCAATCTCGGCCTGTTGTACACGAATTGAAGTGTCATCTACATATCTTGCCGGGTTTGAAACCATCATGTCCCCTCCCGTACTGCTCTCAATGGACTCCAATGCTTTGCAATTGCCGTCTCAAATGGCTTGGCGAGTCTAAAGACAACATTTTCAAGACGCCACTCATTCCTAATTTAGTAGCATCCAAGTTCTACTGAGTAGTCTGTTTTATCACTCAAAAGTCTCAACTACCAGTTGTAAATTATCCCCTTGAGATAGTCATAGATGGACAGATAGAGATACTAGTCCAACTTGTACCCCAACTTGCCCCTTTACCAATACTTGACGTATTTTCTCCACGCACCATCCATAAACTATCACTGATCCATCATAAATCCTAAATTCAACTTTACTCCTCAACGCATCGGCGTGGTGCAGCATCACAAGTCAAGCCTCGCCTACAAGGGCAACGCATCCCAACGTACAATGTCGTAATCAACTAAATAGCAATACAAGGGCTATGCTTCTTTCCTAACGCACATTTTCACCACCTCGAAACAATTCCGTCTGTCTCGCCGGCCAAATAAAGCGCCATGGATACCTCAAACTATATTTAAAAAAACTCGAGCTCGTCAGCACCAGGCTGCAAGGAGCAGAGCCGAATGAGAAAAGCCATTGCCATGAGCGCGACAAGGTACACCCTATTACCCATAATATTAAACGCATTCTCGTTGTCGTTTACATCGTCTTCGTGTGTCGTCAGCACGTAGCAGCCCCAAAGTAAGCCCAACGCAAGAAAGACGGTGCCGGTAATATTTGCCGCGTGAGCAGCTCGCCGCACATTACGCTCTGCCATGTGACGATTGTTGTCACGGCTTGCGTAATGATTACCGAAGAAAAATTGGCAAACGACGGTAAGCGTTACGGCTTCTTTAACGAGACCCACGGTTCCGTTGAGCCACCCATGATGCCGTATAAAGTTGTAGTATCCGTGAAGGGGCAGAAGTAGGATGAGGGAGAGAAAATATCGACGATGAATGACGTTTTGTTGCTGTGCTTGGTCTGGCACTGGATTGCCCATGTTGCGCGAGTTTTGACGTGAAATTTTGTCCGGTCAGATATCGAGGCAAGAGGCAGAGGGCCGGTAGTATAGTGTGCCAAGAAAAGAAAGATGTCGATGGGTTCTGAAAGTCGGCAGTCCACGATCAGATCCGCCTTGGCCGGCTGATGATGATGAGCCTGGGACCCGCAGAGCGTGGCTGAATTGGAATGAAGATTGCGCCAGGCACGTCAAGATGGAAGAATAGCTTGGCGTCGGCGGGGGTGCTGTGAGTCTGTGACCTTTATGTTGGCTGCATGTGTAGTCAAAAGGCTCCACCGCCTATGACATGGCTTAATAATTATACAATTATACACATGCATACAGTCGACTGCATAGAGCAGTACCGGCGTTATACCTTGCACCGAGAGCAGGCTGCAAGTCTGCTGTCAAGGCAACATTGAAGGCATTCACCGAAAAGTAAAGCATCTACCATTATACATGTACTGCGTCATCTACCCCTTGGTAGTATCAAGTGGAATTTTGTAGCATTGTGGACTTTTTTATACAGATACCTGCCAGCTCTGAAGCTTTGGTCCTTCATCTAGGAATGGACATGTTGGGGTGGTCGTTTGGCTCTGGCTGTTTGCAAAAAGCTCACCGGAAAATCCTTTCCTTTGAGCTAGATTGGCACGAATCGCGGCTCGGGCAATTACAGAAACAGGCCCAAAATTACATCTAGCGTGAGCATTAATGTCACAGGCAGCGAAGGCATGCAATGTGAGGGACCACGGGAGTGATTAGCGGTAAAGGTTTAAGACTTAAATAAGTCCTTTATTATAAAAAAGCTAGGTAAAAAAAACTTGAAATAGAATATAAAGAGAAGGCGAGCTAGAAGATGCTGGTTATAGCTGCCTTCAACGTGACTGTGTGCTCCATGGACGCATACTGGCAAACCTGTCTATCAACGGTCCTGATAATCCTAGTCCGTCTCATCTATACCTCACAACCGTCGAAAGAGATGTACTCTGGGCAGGTGTCAGTCACCCTGGTTTCGTACACGATGGCGCCTCCCATAATATTGCCCCTAGAACCATCCTGAACTGTGTAGAACTGGATTCTAGCCGCTCCGTTGTCGCCGGCCGCTCTGTTGATTTGGTAACCGAAGCTGCCTTGGGCAACCTCGTCAGGTGTTGACACTGATGTGCCACAGGGTGCATAGCCGGACAGTTTAGCTCCGATATGCGACCCGAGATGGAAGTTTACTCCATAGAAACCAGTAAAGTCGCCATTGTGGTTTGCGCACTCCTGGTCTGCCGAACGCCTCATCTGTACTCCGTGCTCAGAGTCGGGCGGTAGCTGGTTCTGCAATTCGTAGACGGGCTGGTTTGGATCCGCCTGACCCTGTATCAACACGGCCGCATATCCTGCTCCGCCCATGACAAACGAGTAACTGGCTTTTACAAGTGCGGCGATGACCTTGTCACCACACTCCTTGCCGGTTGCGGTTCCATCCCTGGTAGCAGCACCGTAGCAGTCACTCCAAACTGCCTGGAGAGCGCCGCCAGCATCCGAGGTGAATGCGATGAACATGGCAAAGCCGCCGGCACGAATGAATTGGTTGGCAGCCAGTGCTTGCTCTTGGCCGCGGCGATCCTGAGCCTGATGGGTTGAATTGGCGAGCCAGCGTAGCAGTCGATCCTCATCAACTTTCTGGCCGTGGTATTTCCATATCTCTCTCATCTTCTCGATGGGTACAAGTCCCGGCGTGATGTTGAACATTCGTTCCACCTCCATGGCCTGCATCTCTACAGCACTTGGCATGGCAAGAGCTGTGCCGACCTTGCCACGGTTGGCATTCATGACGGCGAGCTCGTCATCGTTGGCCCAGCGCACTGCGGCGGCCGCTACAGTCGTTGCCACGAGGAGAAGGGAAAGCTTCATAGCTATTCAAGGAGACGTGGTGAAGAAGACTAATAAGCAACGACGCGGGCTCAGGGCGTAAAAAGTTGACCACAGTCAAGTGTTGGGTCCTCTTTGGTGCTTTCTGACCGCGTAGCGTGTATGGGGCATCGCAGCAAATATAAGCCTTCTTGAAAGGAATCAACTTTGGCCGAGTTCTGGGTTGACTGCATGTCGGATTTCTTGACGTTTCGGCCCAACCCTGCGCCAACACCTTTCATCTCCGGCGTATTTCCACCACCGGACAGCTTCCCTCCATTCACATTTCCTCCCTGAGCAATTTCGCCCAGATGAATCCCTGCCTCGGCGAGTTTACCGGAACGATTGTCAAACATGTGTGTGAATGACAAGGCTGGGAATGAGCTTGGCTGCCTCGATATATGGCTAGCTTGCCGGCCATGGCGATATTCAGGACTTGTGCAGATAGGTCCAGACTGCCTCGTATCGTCTTGACCCGTGGTCTGGCTAATCATCTGCGTCTTAGGGAGTGATTGTCGGAATGGACATGATTTATTTTGAGATGAAATGGGTGCTAGACTTAAATTAGTACTACGTAGAGTGCAACACACAGTTAATTAAAAGGCCCATATTTTTCATAAACCTCCGTCCACCCCAGTTCACGATGCAGTATTGTACTATTTAGCCAATAAGGGCCGCGTAAATGCCTATAACAAGCCTAATTACTATGTTGTACGTGAAATCTACCCCTTTTTCTTCGTGGAAATTGGCTGTGAGACGGTCTGGTACAAAGTAATGTGCCGTGCCGCCTTTACATTACATAGTAGTGGAGCATGTACTGGCCAGGGTCAAAAAAGGGAGGTGAAAGAGTCCATTTCGATTCAATGTTCCGAGAATCACACCCTTAGCTATACAGCACAACATGGAGTCAGCGATATCCGCCTCTGTCGCCGTGTTTTCACAGACATGTCTCGGCTTACGGATCGAATCTAGGAATATAGGAGTCATTCCATGCCTCTTTCTCATGTAGAGTCGGCATGACAGGCCAGCTACGAGAATCCGAGACGCAGCAGCCTCTTGGCACATGGACTATTTTCTCATCAGAAAAACATTATTTATTATCCCCAAACCAAGAGTACGCCATCTATTGTCTATTACATGAAAAAAATCACCCGCAGGATCTAACAATCCAGATCTTTCCAACTTGACCATACTCCGAACAAACCTTGCCTCTCCCCCTTTCTCAAACCCGCACAACAATCACGAAGCTCGTAATTGCGACGCAGTACGCAAGTAAAGCCTCGGCACCGTCCCCGGGAACTCGCCCAACGCCTTATTCAGCTTCCTAAGGACTATCAAGAGCCGGCCGAAGACGTGATCCCGCTCATGCATCGCCTTGGGAACCTTCCCTGCCGCCTCCAAAAGCCGAGCGTGGTATTCTGAATTCCTCATCTCCTCCACGGCATCCTCGCTTTCAATATCGTGGACGAGCCCGTCCCGGTGCTCCTCCATGGTGTGCGGAGCGCAAATCATCCTCCAGTCCTCCAAGGGCGCCCAGCTCTCGGGCGCCTGGTCCGCAGGCAAGTCCCCCGGGTCTGCCCACGGCGCGACAACAACAAGCGTGCGCAGGTGCCTGCAGCACTCGCTGACCATTTCCACCATCAGGAGGAGCATCTGCCACCCCACCGGGTTCAAGACGACGTGGTGGGCGTGCTCGAGCTCACGCGGGTACAGGGGAGCGCGCAGGTAGAATACGTGGCAGCCGACGTCGATCCACGTGTGAAGATTGGCCATGAAGACGGACCTCGATTTGAAGATTTGCTGCGCCTCGCGGCACGACAGGCTGACGTTGCGGTGGAACACGCCCGTGAGCCGTCTCCTCTCGCGTCGACCGTCGTAGATGTTGCCGGACCAGGAGTCGGAGAGGGCCAGATGCCATATCTCGTGGCGGATTTCCGCGGGGAGCCTCGAGAAGGGCGAGAAGCCTGCTCCTCCGCTGGGTGTCCCCCGGGCGTCGTGAGGAGCCGCCGCTGACATTGTTTGATTGTTTCGACAGAGGGATGCAGCTGGGAGCATGTGGCGGCGGCCGTGATGTTGGGAGAGCCATGCCGTATATGACGCCCGACGGGCTCTTGAAGACTGCGTCTGGCGGAATCAAAATTTGCGGTGTTGCCGAGACGGGGGACCGGGTCTGGTGCGATGGCTTCTGATGCTTGTTCTGTGGAGATGGGGGGCCATGGGGCCGACTGACTGCCAGGCCCTCTCTGCCCTTTGCCGGGCTTCTAGCCGAGTGGTGGTCATCTCTTGCTGTCAAGGAGAAGAGTTCATGTGCCAATATGCCGTGTTCCGATGGGGCCCTGTCGCGCCAGGGCCGGAGGAACCCTGCTCTACTCTACTCTACGGCTTGGACACACGGGAAGACTAGTAGCTCCGAGACGAGGCTTCTCTGTTGTTGGAAACTGACGTCAAACTGCGGCGTTGGGAACGGCCGTTTTGCATTAAGGTTAAGTTGTCGATTGCCATTTTTGAAACCACCTGCTTAGTGCCTACTGCTGGCGGCTGTATATACACACACCAGCTGGCATTGACTATGCATCCGGGTGCTCATGTGGGACCAGACTTACTGGTCCAATTCAGGTGTGGCATGGCAGGGGGGTCAAAGCTAATAAGAGATAACTGCCTAGGTACTTAAACAGGTAGGTAAAGTACCTAGGTAGATTGGTCATCTGGTACTAGGTATTCCAGAGACCACGAGAGGGAGAACAAGTACCGGACCTCATAACGCGATAAAATCTCAAGACAACATCCAACTGTTTCAAGAGCCGCTGCTCCGCTGTCATTTGACCAGACGTTCAAATGTTATTGAACAACCAGTTGACCACTGACAAATAATAGTCTCGTGTTAGCACATAAGCCCCTGTATAAAGCCCCCGGCAGTTTCGCCGGATTGTGGCGCCCGACTACTACCGGACATTAGAGTCCGGTGCGCTTCATCCCGCCCGGGATCGATATTATGCCCCAAATGGACCAGTTATTCTCGAGACCCGCCATAGTGAAGCACCACTGTGATGATCGACGGCAGGGCAAATCTAGCCAAGTACTAGTCAACCAACCAGACTTTA